ACCACGATGTTTTGTTTTAGAACTGCGATGTTTTCTCTTTGCGATTTGTTTCTCCCCACGATGTTTTTGTAGCACGACGTTGTTTTCGCCTTGCGTTGTTTTCTCCGCGACGTTATCGTCCGCGATGTTTTTGCCGCGATGTTTTTGGCTGTAACCATCACACATCCATGACTGTGACAAGTATTGCTTCCATGGTCTTTGGTGGAAAATTGAGAGTTTCTCGAACTCTCAGGAGACACAATGAAACTGGATCATTTTCTTCGGAAAAGAACTGATGTCGAAGGAAAAAGGAAACAAAAATCACATAGATTCCTACTCCTAAGTGGCGTTATCAATCCATTAAAACCTGCAGAAACTACAAAAGTGGTCTACTGATTTTGAAATTTATACTTCAGACGTGCAACGTAGACTCCTCACTGTTGGTCGGAAGGCAAGAAAGCTAATTAAAAAACAACATTTGACACATCAAATGAAGCAAAGCATTATTGTAAGCCAAAACATACACATCTTGATGCACAAATTATTGGAGAAAAGTTATTTCTAGCGATGAAACTCGTTTATTTGTTCACGATTACACATCTAAAATTGTTATACGAAGCGAGAGAGAATCAATAAGATCTCAATATACTATACTCGACAAGCAGTAATCCCCTTAACAAAGAAATGTTTTGGGTATTTTTTTTCATTGCAGATGGCACTGGAATCCAGTGTCTATTGATAAAATGATGAATTCATCGAAGTATCCATGAATTTTAAAACATAGGTTTGTGTCATTCCCGTAAACCTTTGCAGGAACATTTTAACACGACTTGGTTCCCTGCCACAATTCAAAATCTTTCAAGAAGTTTATATAGGGAGGGAAAACTATTGTACTAGATCGGCCTGGAAACTCACCAGATTTCCGATCGAATACTTGTGAAATATTCTCAAGGAACACCTCAGCAAAGTGGATTCTACGACAAAATAGCGCTGACGTGATATTTGAGCACAAATTCTGATGGGGAGAATTCCATTTCATTGCGAGCCTTTTTTTTTTTTTTCCACTGGCGTGCACTTAGCCGACTTAGGCTTGGCCGGAAGTTGACTACTAAGACCGGAAGTTGTGGTCACTTTATTTTGAAAGTAACTTTGTAAGGTTTTAATTTAAACTAACCAAATTTCTTTTTATTTTAAGTTACCCTTTCCTGTAAACTCTTATTTCAACTTCCCTTTAGAATGAGCACGCGGTTTAGCTTTATGCTAATTTGGTTTGGAGCCAAGTTTTGTATTTAAAGGTTAGTGAGAAACTTCTCAAGTGTCAGAGAGTTTTCAGTCTCAGACCACGTCGGTTCGGTGGACGTTCGCCAGATTAGTTAGTATTTAAATTCTTACGCCTTAGAGCTATTACTCTAATATTGATTGAAGTGATTTAAGTGCGTTAGTACTTAGCAAAGACTTGCTACGCACCATAAATAGGCCAATCTCGCGTTTAAGCTCTGTGACTATTTAAATGTCTACTTAAGCTTTATTGTTTGATTGTTCAGTTTAGACCCAAGCGCGGTCATTATTTTTCTCTTATCACTTCCGAGCTGGGAGTTTCTGTAAATAGTGATTTAAATAAAAGGGTCTTTTACACCCTTCTGAAGTTGTAGTTCTTCTAGCACGCACACGAACATAGCTGCATTCAGCTCACTGTTCTAGATCAGGACCTTGATACTGTCACCATTATGTTTGCCAAAAGTATGCACAGAACACGTAGTTCCTGGCAACTTAATACCCGTTACTTCCTACCGAAAGGATGCACAATTACAGCCATGCCTTCGCCGGGATTCGAACTCGGGCTCTTAGGTATCGCAGTAGCTCCTTTAAGCATTATACTGTTTGAGCGGCCTAGCGAGCCCTAGTTCCGGAACTTTTTTTCTGCCATTTCTCAGATTCTCACAAATTGGATGATCGAAAATAGGAAACGTATTAATATTTAGCAATGGAAAACCGAGAAAATTTTAACTAGCTAAAGAAAAAAACTGCCTACAATATGTTCAATTGCAATGCGTTCATCTCAATATGTTTATCTGCAATGTGTGCAAACTACCTGCAATGTAAAGTGTGCAGATTATCTGCAATATGCTTAATTGCCACTTTCCCGAAGTGGAAAAGTTACAACTTTCGTTTGTTTTCAAGATCGTTTTAAAAAGACACCTAGCAAATATTTCCCGTATTGACATTTCATATATTGCCATTCTAATATAGTTCATAAATACGAAAATTGGATATCTCTAATTATGTAAATTGGATATCCCTAATCATGTAAATTGGGTATATATAATCATAATCATTGGATAATATAGCTATGAAGGAACTTTCAAGCGTGATCTTCTGTATGGAATTCGGTGAAGCTCTGGTCAGGTCGGTTTGGTTTGTGTGATTATGGCAAAGCCTCGACGGCTATCTGTCTAAAGGGAGGGATGCCTTTGTGGAGTCCTTTCTAATGAAAACTGGCTCGTATATACGTTACACATGGCGAAGACCACGAACATGCCCATGCAGCCAGTCCGTTCGCGGGAATTTAACGATGGACCGAAGTACCAGAGTTCAGAGGTTTTACCGTGCGGCCGCTGGTGAGTCCGAAGCTTGGGTAAGAGCAGGATATATTCCTGCTGCACCCCAGAATAAACAACTCACGAAAGCTATGTGGGTAGCTTTAGAAAGAGGAGAATTCGGTAACCAAAAGAAGTATACGGCTTAAATACCAGTTGTATAAAATCTAAAGACTACACTTCAAGGTACTGAGTTGGTACTATACTGCCGTTTTGGCCTGAAGACGCAATAAATTTTTTAAAGGAATAGGAAGGTCACAAAAATAAGAAGGATGACACAACTGTAAGGTAGGTGTAGAAACATATGCTATGAAATTAGGCTACAATTAATGCAAGAAAACAAAGCTAATAAACATAACATATACAATACAAGAAAATATTAAATTATTTACGTTCGCTACAAACAGGGTGAGCAAAAAAATTAATAATTTGTACAGAAGTAATTACGCAAGAGATAGGGTAATAACTGAGCGATACGTCACAAGTAGAGTATGTAGTAGGTACAGAGATACGTACACACGTGCTGAAGATTGTTTGCATGTTTCTTGTAACCAGTAATCTTGTACGTCTATAAATGATTCCGAATAAGTAATATCTAAGATTATACTTCTAATTTTCAATTAACTACATAGAATTTATTCTACAGGTCTCCCACCTTTCCCAACGTTTGTTAACTAGCATATGTTGACTAACAGGAAAATGAAACAAATTATTTTAATGCCTAATATACGATAACAGTAGAAATCGTTCTTTCTTTCTAAATATTGAAGCAAAATATGTAGAATGGAAATGAACTGTAATTTGTGAATGAGCAGACTTCGTCTATAGCAGAAATCATAATTTACTTCTGGTATATAATATTACATTGTACTAGCTACGTTTTACATTCAAAGCCCTGAGTATTCACCGTTGATTGTTAAATACACTTTGATTTATAATATGACTAAGGTGACCAAATTCTAGAAGGACGCCAACAGATGATTAGATAAACTAGATAACCATTATTTGCTCTATCCGGATATAAATGCCAGTATGTTTTCCACCTCCATTGACACTTTTACGGGTTTTTTTCCCCACATATAACGTAAATAAGGACTAGTTTTGTTTAAAATGTTTCAACGGAAGAAAACCTTTTCTTAAGCGGAAAGACAACGCGCGCTTTGCGATACCAATTATACGTAAACAAAGTCTAGTTAATGACGAGAATAAAGTTCTATTACTATTCCTATAGAACGGTGTCTGCAATAGGAATAGTGAATAAAGTTCTATTCACTATTTCTATTGCAAACATCTTGCTTCCTTCAAACATTAGAGCCCTGCAGTATATTTAAAGGAATTAAATAATGAAGAATTTGCATGAATATATGAATGCTTCTTGCACTGTGAAAAAATAACACTGTCTAGACACATCAAATTTTGAATAACGTAGTCCTCCACTCTTATATGGGCATTTGGAAGCCCAAATTTGGTATTTGGAATTTATCTTATCATCGATTTCATATTTTGTAAAACTTTAACAAATTTTTAATTAACAAACTCAACGATTTCAAAGCGTTTATGCGCGAGGTTTCTTTACATTTCTTACTATAATTATGTTGGCAGCGTAGCAAAGCAAAGACTTTACAATGTCTAACAGTATTTTGCATCGAATGACTTTGAATGTCTGTATCATTTTTCAAACTCCGCTTTGAATCCTCCGTGAAAAAGACGCCCCTGTAGACAATATAAAATCTGAAATTTTCCCATGTAGACATAATATAAAATCTGAATTTCAGGTTTTATATTTTATTGTTTATGTGTCCAAAAGAAACTAAATAAACTATTGTCGCTAGGGCACGTCGCATAAGAAACTATGAACTCTAGTTTCCAAAGGAGAAACGGAGAAAGCCTTTAAATAAAAGTAATAAAAGTAATTTAAATAAAACTATTGTGACTCTCAATTTTGTTCACACATATTATGAACACACTTGTAAATATTTCAAAAAGAATTCTATACCTCATCGTTATCTCTATACCTTTCCCTTGATTTCCGGCATAAAAAATAGAATACTGAAAAAAAGAATCTACTAAATGTATAAATCGTACAATAACGGTTAGAATTGATTTTACAATGTCGTATAGAAATTTAAGTGTTTTAGGATGTTCCTAGGATTTTCTTATTTTAGAATTGTGTTTTAGTATTTAATAATATACTCTAAAATTATGCCCATTAATGGCTCTTCAAAGTGATTTTGAATTGGAATGACTGTTAGAATTGAATGAATGATTTCGGAATTGGAGAACATATTCATGCTATAATTTAACCGTAAATTTTATTTTCATAAATTATTAAATGAAAGATGTGATTCTGAAACGAACGTAGTAGAAATGTTTCAAATATCTTCAACTAATTTCCATATATCGTCTGCCATTTGCAACTTTCGTTTGTGACGTCAGTGCCTAGAGCTTTCTGCCTTGTAAACATTAACATTTGATCATTTCGCTTCTAATTCCGCGTTGTGTGAACACCGTGCTTTTAAGTAGATAGCTCTTCGTACGGTAATACAAACCTTTCAGGTATTTATTTCACTTTTGTTTTAATTGGTTTTGTTGTTTGGCTGTCCATTTGTTCTTTATGAAATTTATTCTTTATGAAATTTATTCTTTATGAAATTTATTCTTTATGAAATTTATTCTTTATGAAATTTATTCTTTATGAAATTTATTCTTTATGAAATTTATTCTTTATGAAATTTATTCTTTATGAAATTTATTCTTTTATTACAAAATTTGGCTAATCTTTGGAATATGGTAACAGGTAGTTTGGCGACATTTTGGTAAGACGATAAAGGTTACTAGCTAGGACTTTAGCAGTGTACATGGATAATGTCAAGAGTGTGCGCAATGCCATTTTTGTGCAATTCTGGGATATTTTTTTAAGTGAAAATAGGTCGACGTGTACATGGATACCGTGTATGTGCAATTCTTAAAAACGCGGCAAGCAGTTTGCGATTCTGCACTTTCTCCCAATTTCGCACCTAATCTTTGTCATGATTAAGCATTTTTGTTCCATAAAAGTTCTAGCATAAGCGTAATTCGGCTAGCAGATTGTTGGGAAAAAAATGTTGAGTTAAAAAATAAAAAAATGCTTTTATTTCGTGAAAACAAAATGGCGTTCAAACAAAAACTAGTAAGTTGCTGTAGCAGGGTCGGTCGCCAAATTTTCGCCAAGTTACCATAATCCAAAGATTAGTTCCAAAAGGCCGTTTAAAAAATAGGGGTTTTGAGAGGATAAAAATTAATATTGTGTATTAAGGAGATGACTGTTAACCTTTAAAAAAAGTCTGAATGCTTTAATGGTAGAAGTGTTTACAAGTGTATGTAATCGAATTATTTTATAATTAGTAGAGTAGAAGTAAGGAAATTTCACTAATACAACCACTTCTTTAGCATTTAAAGAGCAATAGCTACGAAGTAATACGTACGTATGCATAACAGTATCTAATTTTATTTTGGTATCTTTTTATTAAAGCGGCCTCCGAGAATAAACTGGCCCAACAGTGGCAGAGCGGTAAAGTCACTGAACGCACTGGCTTCATGGGCGTTTTCGCCATGAGTAACGTGTGTACGAGCCAGGTTCCCTTAGCAGGTCCTCCGCGAATGGCATCCCTACCCTTAAACAGATAGCTCTCGAGGCTTTATACCTTGCCATGTAATCTCATATTAGCACCGCGTTGCATTTTTGCCCTCGCTGTGTGTTCTTATAGTCATTTTTGATGAGGTTTCGAATTCGAATTATTTAAAAATATATTAGAACTTTATTAGAACTACTTTATTAGAACTTTTGCTTTTGTGTTTGTGACGTTAACAATCTAATTTAACAAGGGATGAGATGGATGCCATATAATTTTTGCAAGGAATCTGATAAGCGAGTATGCGAAAATGGTAGCAACATGAAACTTTCTGTTAACGACGAAACCATTTGGAGCTGTATTGTTAGAAAGTGTAAAAAAGAAGGTTCTCCTGGTTGGAAATTGGTTCGACGTTTCCAGAATATCTTTCGTCACTACTGTTAGGTTTATACATTGAGCGTAGGATATGTGGGAAATATATATAATTAATATATATAATATGTATAATTAAATATATATAATATGTGGGAAATATATATAATATATAAATATATATAATTAATATGTGGGAAAGTGCTGCAGATGACTCGAATAATTATTTGCAATAAAATAATAAGGATTCTTACAAAATATTCTTAGGAAAAAGTACGTGACTAAGACCAGAAGTAAACAAATTGAATAGCTGTCAGTAAAAGAATGCGCGAACCTTGAAACCTGCATCTGTAAACCTTTTTCTTTGCGACACGATTTGGTCTACTAGAACTGAGCCGTAAATTAGATAAATGCTGGTAGTTCGACCTACGGTCGAACAGGCTATGTCCTCGAAACCATAGGCAGATAGCTCTCGAATTGCTTTGCCTTAATTATTTACAGTGGCTAAAATAAGTATTGGCAATTGCCTATGATTGATCATATTAGCTAACAAAGGAAATGCTTGACAATTTTAGGTAGACATAACGGACACAGGAGGTAGTAAACGCATAAATTTAATAAAACTTTCGTTTTAGTATGTCTTTTACACAAAATATACAACAAAAACGTAAACTTGCGTGTCAAAAAAGTACTGGCAAGATCACGCAGTAAAATGTGTGAACAAAATTTAATAATTTATATTAATACCTTTTGCATTTATAACAGCTTGTAATCTATTTCTCATAGAGAAAACGAAAGTCTTGCTTTACTATTGGGAATTTTGCTCCATTATTGCAGGAGTATATTCTTAAGTTCATCTTTATAAGAAATTTTGTTTCCTGACTTCTGGATCCAATTTGTGCCATAAATTTTCAATTGGATTTATGTCACGGAATTGAGGGGGTGTCTACCTGGCGAGGAACGTTATAGAGCAACTACTTTCGGGTGAGCTCTGCTGTTAGGGTCATTGTCCTGTTGAAACACGAATGATATTCCTAAGACAAGTATTTGGGCACTGAAATTCGAGTTATAGCGCAGTATGTCAGTGTAAGTACGGGCTGCCATAATACCATGAATAAAGCATAGGTTACCAGCTTCGTTTGGCTGCCATATAGCCCCAAACTATGACGCTCCCTCCACCATGTTTCACAGTCAGTGTTAAATGTTGTGTTTCTAGTTCAGTGTTTGGCTTTCTATACGCATATTGTCGTTCCTCACTCCCGAAAATGTTAAACTTTGATTTGTTGGAGAAAATAACTGTATTCCAAAGCTCGTCTGATAAATTAACACGAGATTTTACAAAATCTAATCTTACTTCTGTTTATTTGTAAATGAAATGTTTCTTTCTAGCTGCCCTTCCATAATAACTCCCTTCAGGTTTAACATTCCGTACAGTCTGTTCACTGAAAGTTTTATGCGAAGTGTTAGCAACACCTTTGGCTAACGGGAGTGCACTTATTTTAGGAGTTTTCCTAATCTCTTTAATAATGCCCGTTTTCCCTTGCAGAAAATATTCGAGGCCGTCCACTTGTAATGTTATTTTCTGTCGACACTGTCTCTTTGTGCACTTTTATAACACTTCTAACAGTAAATCAATTTATGTTCGGTTGTATTCCTACAGCCCGATAAATTAAACCCTCATTTCTGAGCTGAAGAAGCATGCTTTTAGAATTAACATCCAACTCCTAAGATTTCGAAGCCATTTTATCACAGTGTTAGCAAAATAACGTTTTAAAGGTTTTAAAGTAGCACTGCAGGATTTATACGGACAGAGGTTTTTTATCGTCTAATCACGCGACCTCAAAATAACAAAATCTGTATAGCTGTTAGAAGTTTGCCAGTACTTTTTTGACACAGATTATTTTGTGTAAAAGGCTTCATTAGATTTGTGTGTTTATTTACCTCCTCTGTTCGCTATGTGCAGCTAAAATTGTCAAGTATTTCCTTGGATAGCTTAATATGATCAATTCCAACAATTTCCCATACTTCTTTTTATCCACTGTAACTCAACCGCTCGAGGCATGATCTTTCGTTGCAGCGCCATTTCTGATTTTGGAGAATAGTAAAATTTCATTTTGAGTTTTTTAACAAAACCTTTCATTATGAGGATAACGTTGTTGTAGAAGAATTTAATCACGACTGTTGGTGATTAGACAATTGCCAAAATTTTATAATCAACATTGAATCTTTCTTAATAGTAACAACAGCAGGTACAAAAAAAAAAAAAAAAAAAAAAAAAAAAAAAAAAAGCAATTGAAAATTTTGAAGCAGAATTCATTTGATCAATAATCATTCTGTTTGCTTATGCGCGATGATATTACCTGAAGGCTCAATCACTGAAGGCTCCTGGAACGCATAAACTAGAATGTTTTTCAGCTCCCTCGTTACGGCCTCTTTAATGGCCTGGACCGAGCCGTGGTGACATCATTTCGTGACACTTTTCGGGCGGGGTAAGAAGTTTTAAGGAGGCGACATATCGGCTGTACTTGTATTTGACTCAGAAAACGGGTCGCCGGTGTCCGTCCAGAAATCGCTGCATCATAGCGGCTCCATCATGACAATGCGAAGAGCCACACCGTCTTTGCTGTCATAGACTTCCTGACCAAACATGGCATCACACAGCTTTCCTAGCCTCGCTAAGTCAAGATGTCATTTATTCAGACTTCTTCCTGTCGCCCCGACTGAAAAGGGTCATGAAATGACGGCACCACGAGCCGTACGGCTCGGTCCATGCCATTCAAAAGGCTGTAATGAAGGGGGTTCAAGAGCTTTCCAAGTTCTCTAAGGAACTTTCAGTTATTGGCAGACTCGCTGAAAACGCTGTGTTGATGCAGAATGCACATGTTTTGAAAACTCAGTCTATGTGTCAAAATTGTGGATAAAGATTTTAAAAAATTCAACCCTACTACTTTCCGGACAAACCATGCATATTAAATTGCTTAATGCCTTGTTTTATGTACTTTTACTGTATAATAATTTTCTCATTCAATACCTTTTTCTTATGATTACTCCAACTTTATATTCATCTGATTTTTCACTCGCAGTTAAATTTTTTTATTTATGCCTAATTATTCAGTTTGGCCCTAAGGATGTTTTATTAAAATTTTGCACTGAACACTAGCAGGTACGTTATTTTTATAATTCTACCGTATCGATTGTTTTTGTATCATAAATATGCACAAACAGGTATTATCTGTAATTATGTATGATTCGTAAATCAATCTGCATACATATTTTACCGAATTCATATAGCACCTAACATTGCATTATCCGTGTTAATGTAATTCCGAGTTCAGCATTTATTTAATGTATTTTTAATTACTACTAGGGCACAATATAAACATAACGTCTACAATTCTACCAGGATAACTTGCTATTAGTGTGTGCATAAAAGCCTAAATTGTGATTTGTTTTGCTTCATGATTGGTAATGTATAAATATTTGGGCTAATCTTTGGAATATGGTAACAGGTAGTTTGGCGACATATTTGAGGCGATAAATCACCTAGGACTTTGGGAATAATGTGAGAAGTACTCAGTTCCGATTACGCATTATTTTGTGTGAGGGAAATGAGAGATCATGAGATGTCATGTAACATTAATGGACGAAATACAGTTCTTTAATCGGAAAAGAGGGTAAAAATTTGGAAAAATATCTGTAGTACTATATTATTTTGTATTAAGCTTCATTGTGTGTTGTGTGAAAGAGTGTTGATTAATTTTTGGATTGCATGGCGCTATCTAAAGTGAATTCTAAATTTTTAATGCGTTTATCTGATAATTCAAAAGAATTGGTTGAATGGTGTATGAGTGTAGGATTAATTGCAATAAGTATGAATGTCCAACATGTGGGAATGAAATGAGATTGTCTGAAAGGAAGGATATTACAGATAAGTTTGAATGGCGGTGCAAGAAATCTGGTGAAAATGGACATTTTGTGAAACGGAGTGTAAGGAAGGGTACGTGGTTTGCTGAAAGTCGTTTGAGTATGGGGGAGATTTTATTAATTTCTTATTAGTGGGTGAATAGAATGCCAGTTGACTACTGGATTATTTAATCTATAAGCAAAGTTTATCCGCCACGTAATCAAGATTTTGAAGAAGATTAGGTAAGTTAGTATTTTTAATTATTTGAGGATATTATTTTTATGCATTGTTCTAAATGTAAAGAGTAAGTAAAGTAATATGGTATTATTGGAAAATTGTTATTAGCAATGATTTAGTTTAAAGTAATTAAGATTGTAAGCTAATTTTTATTAATTTAATGTATGTGCTTATTTATATTTTAAGTAGTGTTTTTAATTTAATTATATTTTAATTAAATGATAGTTATTTTGTGAATTATGTTTGTAGGAATTTGGTATACGTTTCAGTGGAAGTAAACGTGCATGGCAATAATTTAAGTATTTGTAACCATTTTTAATGTTTGCGGTATAAATTCGTTGGTGACATTTATAATAAAATAGATAATTTAGAGGTAAAAGTTTTTGGATATTTTGTTTATTTTATACGTGGAAATGTTCATCCTTGGAAAGGGTATATATTTTTTCGCGATCAGGTAATTTCATATATGTTCTTTTTACCGGATTAAAGATTCACAAAATTTTCATGCATTTTCGTGAAATTTTTCTAATTTATGAGAAAAAAGCAGTGTACATGGATATAGTGAAGAGTGTGCGCAATGCCATTTTTGTGCAATTCTGGGATGTTTTTTTAAGTAAAATTAAGTCGACGTGTACATGGTTTATGTGTATATGCGATTCTGAAAAACACGGCAAGGAGTTTGCGATTCTGCACTTTTTCCCAATTTGGCAGTTAATATTTGTCATGATTAAGCAGTTTTGTTCCATAAAATTTCTAGCATAAGTGTAATTCGGATAGCAGATTGTTGGAAAAAAGTGTTCAGTAAATAAAAAGAAAAGAAACATGTCTTTACTTCGTGAAGACAAAATGGCGGCGAAAAAAAAAAAAAATAGAGGGTTGCTGTAGCAGATTTGGTCGCCAAATTTTCGCCAAGTTACCATAATCTAAAGATTAACCAATATTTGTACATACTTCTCCTTTACAACTTTACCTGCATCGACACCCTGCTCTTGTTATGAATTTCGTGCTTCACATATATGATAACAGTGGAAAGGTGTCTAAAATCTGTATTGAAATATCATGAATACGTAACACTACACATTTGCAAAGCTCTTTGTAATATAGCATCTACAGCATCTTTATTTAAAATTTGTGTAACTGTTAGTGTGTATTACAACTGTGAAACATTGCACTCGACAAATAACAACAGCTTTCCAGTGCTCAAGATAAGGTCATCAGCATTTTTCACTTAGCCTCCATAACAGACATTACCAGCATGTATTTTCTCTCCATGTCCCGGTCCTTCTTTTAATATTCCTTTTTTTTATGTAGTCAATTCCTGGAGGACAAAATACTAAGCTCGAATTTTTTTTTAATCCCACCGACAGGACCCGACAGGCTGAAGAGCACTTAGTGGACCAGCTCTTCTGCCGACGGCTAAAAGAAAGAAAATTGTTTATATTTCATTGGATATTTTTCATCTTCCGACTTAAGTGTATTCAGTGTTTTTGTTTTTTGCAATTTTATTATGAAACATTCTGCGTATGTCAGTTTATATTTTTGGAATGCAAAAATGCTTAATGATTACACAATGTACTTTATGTATACTTTATAATTTAACAGGGTAAAAAATATTTCATGCAGCGTGTATATGACTTCGAGCATTTTGTAGAAGGAACATATACGGTTAACATTGCGCTTTTAATTCAGAACAAAATAAAGCAGAACTCAATACAATATATCGCATCTATCTTTTAAATTTGACGAAGAACTGAATAGCTTTGGGCGTAAAGGTATTCCGATTCCACAAACATGCCAAAAAGTAGACTTCTTAGATAGATGCCAAGCTGACGTCAGGGTAATCATTCCAAAGAGATTTGAAAAAAATTCAGTCGTATTATATTTCATTTAGATGCTCCGTTTTTTAAATGTACAGGGAAGTAATATGAAATATTGCCAAGTGGTTATTGATTCGAAATCAAATATGGGGATAACAAGATAATTTTATCCTAATCAAATTTTTATTTCGTATGTTGCAGATTATCTGGTGTCATGGAAGCCTGCTTGAGACGCATTTTTATTATGCTGAATTGTTACCTTGGTTGGTTTCTGGCCATTGCCCTGACGTTCTTCTTTTTAGCAAAATCGTCCAGCATTGATAAATTCATCCCAGTCATCTGCGTTTTTGTCATCTTTCTAATCTTCACCATGGTTTACAATGTCTACTATATAATCTGGAAACGACGGATGCAAAGACTTTATAGACCGCCACCGATTGAATTTATCTTCAATGAAAGATTTTTCATTGATATGCTTTAGAAGTACATAACAGCATTTCAGTTTTTGAAATCTTTAATATTTTTACTGTGACCAACAATGACTTTTTGTAGCTTTAATATTTTAGCCTTAAGTGAGATTCGTTCAATTCTTTGCTTTTAAAAAACAAATCTTAAAGAGCTTCAGACATTGATATATGTATTATTAGAAATATGAGGTTTATATAGTGTCCTATTAAATAACTTGCACTGCCTCGGTTTGTATCGCGCGTTTAAGCTTTCTGTAATCTTCATGGAAGCTAAACTATGTTTGACAGAACTTAACGTACAGAGAACATAAGTCGTCCTAAAATATTTCATTCGTCTTAGTATCTGAATCATATCTAATGTTACATGTGAAGGTACAATTTATGTTCCAAGACCTAGCTGGATGTTATAAGTATTGCATATGAAATAAGTTAATCCTCAAAAATAATGATTATGAAATAATATTATTCTCTTGTTCAATGCTCTGTTGTGTTTTCTGTTAAAGCATTAAAACTGATTTTGAGAAGTAATAATTGTTGTTACAGATTATGTAAAGGCTATAATTATAATTATACTCAGTTAAAACAAAATTAAGACAGGTTTCAAATCCTTTACTATAGTTTCGGTACATGAAGAATGATTCCATAGTATTATGTGTCATTTGATAGGTTGTGATGATATGACTCAGATTAGAGTAAATGTTTCAGATGTGACTCAGATTAGAGTAAATGTTTCAATCATGTAACATCACAATTTGATAAAGGAGAAACCATACTTCATATTTAGAAGTCAACTACCTAAATATAAGCTACCTAATTCTTAACAACGGGGACACTGTTCTTTACACTCTCTAAAGCAATGCAATATTATGAAACGTAATCTGGGAACTAGAAACTAAATCACTTTCTTCAAACATAACATAGCTGACTTGGTAATAACAATCGAATTTTATTATTTTAATTTCAATAAATTTTTAAGCAGTTTTCTGTTAGAAAAAAAATATTCAGAAAAATTAGTAGCATTCTCAGTATTTTTTTGTTTGATGCTGCTAGCATGTGATTAAAGTTTCTAGTATTTATCAACTACCTGGTTATTTGTTTAGCTTTAAGTGACTTTTCACATTCTTCGACTCTCTTCTACTACAGATTTAGACTTCCTTTTCTTTGAGAGTAATGAAATATTTTAAGCAGTTCCCTTACTGCTGTTGAATCCAGCCACTTTCGTTTTATCTGGAGATTTGTTAATTTTTTTTTAAAATTTTGTACAAAAGAAAAGGAAGTCTAAATCTGTACTATAAGAGAATCGAAGAATGTGAAAAGTCACTTAAAGCTAAACAAATAACCAGCTAGTTGATAAATACTAGAAACGTTAATCGCATGCCAGCAGCACCAAACAAAAAAATATTGAGAATGCTACTAATTTTTCTGAATATTTTTCCCAACAGAAAACTGCTTAAATATTTATTGAAATTAAAATAATAAAATTCGATTGTTATTACCAGTCAGCTATGTTAAGTCTGAAACAAGTGATTTAGTTTCTAGTTCCCAGATTACGTTTCATAATATTACATTGCTTTAGTGTGTAAAGAACAGTGTCCCCGTTATTAAGAATTAGGTATCTTATATTTAGGGAGTTGACCTCTAAATATGAGGTACGAAAAATAATTCAGTTTTTACGAAAACGCGAAATAGCATTCTTACTATCCAAGGCATTAACTCGGATATTAAAAAGGTTTGATTTTTGCTCAGATTTTTACTTAAGTCTAGATAAATCTAGATTTATTTTAACTTAAGTCTAGATAAATCAACTGAAGATTATGCTTCGTGTTATATCTAATTATTGTGTTATGATTTGAAGATACTACGTGTAAGTGATACTAGGTTTGAAGAACTTATGTTCTAGTTGTGAACTAGGAAAGGATCTCTAATTGATCCTGGTTCACCATACGCAAGTTCGCGCGCTAAAACCTCCACCGACCGACACTGCAAGTATCTAGGACTTTTCGTCTTCGCCATTTCACCGTCACCTTTTCGCCGACGGGAAGTTTCACCGCCGGGACGTTTCGACGTCAAGACTTATTTTCCTTTACATGACTGTATTATATCTTGCCGTATTATACTCGAATTAAATTTATTTAATTTTATAATTCTGTTTACCTTTTGTGTACTTAATAAAGGTTGCTTGTAATATATATAGTTATTTACAAGTATGATATGTAAAGAAATTACGCATTGTTAGTTGGACAATTATATTAGTATCAAAGAGAACTGGGGCTAAATTTCTGTTATATCAGAAGTTATATTATAGATTTTAAAATTATGCGGGTACAATATTTTTTCTTGAAATTTTAATCGGCTAGTTCAGAGAAATCACACATACAAGCAGGAAATTCACATTTTTATTAAATCTGAATTGAAAACTGAATTACTTTGGAATCTTGTCAGCACATTAGTCTCTTAAAATTAATGTCATGTATAACGGTGTATTTGTATAAAACTGAGCACAAGAACATTTTATATACTATTTTATATAAAATGGTTTTTAAATTAAATGAAATTATTAAACTAAACAGTGTTATTAATTTAAATCAGCTTAATATAATACGGCAAGATGTAATACAGTTGTGTAAAGAAAAATGTGTTGGCGGCGAAATGGCCACGTCGAATGGTCCCATTCCCCACTGCAGAACACTGGTAGTTCTTCCTTAGTTCAAACCCGAGTGAACGGTCTGGCTGCATGGCTGGTTTTCGTAGTTGGCCACCTGTGCAATATGATTAACAACCAAATTTCTCTTTGGAAAATCTTTCACGGGAGTATCATTTTCAGGGGGGCATTGCAAATTATAAATTCGTTAAAACTCGGAGTAATTCTTCTTTCTAATTGTTTTCATATATGATTAAGCATTATTTATGAGGTTTCGTTCGGTAAATTGCTGCAGTACGCTTTGTTAACTACTAATATTTGTAATGCAAGCACCCATCAAACAAAAGTTGAAATGGAAGCGAAACATTTCAACGTAATATTCAAATTAGGCCAACAAGTAATTTTAATTTGGAGTTTTATTCAAAATCTGTTCCAAATTAAAGCTCTTTTTTGTCTAACAATTGTACTTTACTTTGAATATCAGTAAAGTCGCAGTTACAATTCAGAGGTCTTAAGTTTCAAAATTCTTCACTTCTGTTTTTCAAAACTTCTTACAAACTCTTATTTTATGATAAAAATAATGACACTTATTCAGCACCTAAAATCAAATCCCTTTTAAAATGCTTACTTATACACTTTTAGAAATATTTACTTATACCTTTTTAGAAATACTTACTTATACCCTTTTAGAAATACTTACTTATACCCTTTTAGAAATACTTACTTTACCCCTTTAGAAATACTTACTTTACCCCTTTAGAAATACTTACTTATACCCTTTTAGAAATACTTACTTATACCCTTTTAGAAATAGATTTACTCTCATGTACAAGGCAGATGTACAAATTTTTTATCGTTATTTATTAATGTTCTTTAAAAAATTAATAGGGTAGTAGGGTACTCTTTTCCCAGGATAGTTGGGAACAAAATAAAATCGGAAACAGTATCATGTTCTTCAGCTGTCCGTTAACTTCTTTCGATACGTATTGCTTTGACACTTTGTTTTGTGGCTCTGTAAGCAAGAATTTCATCTCTAATTACACGCATTTCAAATAACCCCGATTTGGAGAGACCTCGTCTAAGGATAGGTCCTTATAGGGAATTGCAGTTACGAAGTGAAAGGCTGGCCCAGGCCAGTGTGTAGTAAACATGCTTTGTGATACACACGTGACAGACGTTAAGTGTGTTTAAAGATAAACGACGAGATACAAACAACACGATGGCGTAAAATATCATGTAAATTGACTTCTCAATTGCTGAGATATGATAATGATAAAGATACATTTAGTTGGTTTAAGTTATTTTGACACATGGATCAGTATAGCTGTGAAATTTGCAGGGCAGAAGGCTGCATCAACGCTGATTAGCGGTATTCTGTCACATGGGTGGTTACTCTCCCAAGTGCTAACACCGATCTGTCTGAATTTTGTTCTGTCAGAAAACAAATAATCTTTACCAACATTAAGTGTTGGCTTTAAAATAATTACCTGTAGTAAATACGGGATGAAGTAGCCGGTATTTACATATGAAAACAAGTAGGATAAACTGAAATTTCCTGCTTTCTTACTAATGTATTAAAAAGAAGCGTACAATTTTGTCTATTACAGATTAACCTTCTTTTTAATTTTGGATATAACAAACCAGTATTCGTTTCTGATACATTTCTACCAATAAACATACTCTAACGCAATCTTGTAGTCAATATAAAGTTCTTGTTGTCAGTAGGGAATCGAAAACACATAAGAATATTTTCACACTGCAGGCCTTGGGGGCGCACATCAGAGCAAGTGATATGTCCTGCGTCAGATCTGACGAGCAACGCTATGGATCCTGGATCCAAATCTGGAATAGGTATGGCTTCTGGACAGGTGATAGCTCAGAGTCATTTCAGTAGTTAGCAAGTACGATTTCATACAAATCAGGCGTTGGTTAGGCGGTGGGATTCTCTTAAGACCCTAATTATCTCATATACTAAATAACTAAAGTTAAAATTATATTAGTGACTAAGCAGAGTAAATTAAATAACTTGATGAGAACTAAATAAAATAACAGCTGAGTTAAATGCAGCAGAACCGCTCTTAGCTTTTTCTACTAACGCTGATCTGTAAAACTGTAATTCTTCTGAGGAATAATCATTATGTTAATGAATTTTCCTAAATAACGTTTCTGCAATTTTAACCACACAATCGCTGATTTTATGAACATTGACTTCATCATGAATTGCGTCTTTGCCAATGAACCAACGACTTTTTGTGATTTGATGGAGGGTTACATTTTGAATCGTTTTTAGTTTAGTAAGTGCAGAAATACAAAAATGACCCCAGACGGAACAGGTATCTATAATTACGGGACGCAATATTGTCTTATACAAGAAGTAACTTAATAGCATATACGAGACTTTAAACTAGCGTTATCCCGCTACTATTTTCTAGCGCGGTAGAGGAGTTTAGGGCATTAGTAAGGATTTAGTCAGATTTTAGGAAGTTGAAACTTATTAATAATATGTGTAACCTATAAGGTTCACGAGCGTTCTTATCTAAAATAACACCAAAGTATTTAACGTTGCTTGGCCGAAGGTATTGCA